CTAATTCAGTAAAGCTTATTTTCTTTGTCATGTGTGACCTCTGAAGTGTCTATCTGGTTAGATTAGTGGTCAGCTAATGATTGGACAGAGAGTTCCTGAAATGCCTTGAAGCAATAAGTCTCCTACTCTTTGCCAAGTGACTCTATGTATTGATTCAGGCAAGCCTTCAATGCTCTGGCAGTTTACTCTACCTTATCCCTCACTTCCTGCTTGAACAGGGCCTCAGGGTTACCAGAATTGAGAGACTGGGGCTTTGTCAGGTATTTCCTGAATATATGTACAGTTCTTCATATGCATGTGGATTTCTGCACCCCCCAGGTGTTTGTCAGAGCTTTTTAAAGCCCTCTATGTCTCATTCCTAATATTCCTTTTAAGTTTTTCAGCCAGCCTCTTGTTTGTCTCAACTGGTTTTCCTACCTCAGGCAGCTGGGATGTCAAACAATTTGTTGCTGATTGTTTAGACAAACATCTAGGGACAGGACTCACTGTGCGTGCGAGCTCTGAGTCAGGTCAAATAAGACTAGCCCTATGAATAGGACTCTTACTAGAAGCTGCCAGATAAGTCAAATAGTGATATTTCTCTAGGGGTAGGGCTTTTGAGGGGAGTTCCACACCCACTCTGTCTCCTCTAGTGGCTGCTAGGCCGCTGGTTTTCATAGGTACTATAGTTGTGAGTTGGCTGGTTTTGAAGGCTACCATAGAGTTGGGGAGAGGAAGACAGGGGAAAAAGCAAGTGAAAATGCTGCAAAGCTCACTGTTCCTACTGAGATTCAGCCATTTTCTTGAATAAATGCTCCTTAGATTTTTGAAAGTTTTGGTTAATTTCCAGAGTTATGGAAAAGTTGAGTTTGACAATTTTGCCAGTGTTCTTGCTTTTCTGGGGATGTGGATTTTCAGATGTTCTTCCTCTGCTTTTCCAGAAGTGCTTCTTCAGATTACTTTTATTTTAAGAAGCATAAAGCTTTAAATAATATTGGTCACTCCTAAGAAAAATGGTCTTTGAGTATACATTCTACCCTTAACATGAAGAAATAAGTTATTTTTTGTTTCTTGTGTGGTTTCCCCTTACAGCAAAGTTAAGGTCCTTACTCAACCTGAATGTGAACTTTTACTTCTCAAAAAGCATGTTAACTTTTTTGGTTTTGTGCTGGCTCACTCATGTTCTTAGGTTATGATATAACATAAAACAATAGGGGTCCGCACTTCTAGAGAAGTTAAAAATTCTTAATGACAAGCTTATAAAATATAGCTTTCTTATTATTAATACAGCCAAGACTAAGGCTATTTCCCGATAAAACTTTTTTTTGGTTTCCCTTCTCCAAATCAGGTCCTAAATTCAAAATAATAAAACTATCCAGGCAGGCCAGCAGAGTGGCACATTGGTTAGGAGTTGCTTGGGATGCCAGCTCTGAGCAGCAGGGCCCCGGTTCAATCCCACATGAGGGCCAGCGATGCTGCACCCTCTACAGTTAAGATGGTGAACAACAGCTCGACCTGGAGCTGGGCTGCTGTGAGTCGCCGGTGATGGCGTAGGCTGCAGTGGGGCTGGCTGGCAGCGGGCGTGGACTTTCGTGAGCGTCCATGAGCTGCCGTGAGCAGCTGTCCAATGGCCAGCGAGCAACTGCCTCACCCAGGAAGAGCACGATGATAATACCAACATGGGCCAGTGAAGCGATGTCCTCCACAACTAGACTGAAGAACAAAAGGACAGCAACTTGTCTGTTCCCCTTTCCCGATTCCCCAATGCTGTTCCCCTCCCCCAATTTAAAGATTTAAAAAAATCTTTAAAAAACAAAAACAAAACTTAGTTGTGGAGGACACAGCTAGCTCAGCTCCAAGTCCAGTTGCCATCTGGCTCCACCGTCAGCAGCTTGTGGCAGCTCAGCTCAAGGTGCTGTGTTCAATCTTAGTTGCTGGGGGGCGCAGCCCACCATCCCATGTGGGAGTCTAACCAGCAACTTTGTTGTTAGGAGCACATGCTCTCACCAGCTGAGCCATCCTGCCGCCTGTTGGCAGCTCACTGGCCCATGTGGGAATCAAACTGGCGACCCTGTTGCTCAGAGCACGCACTCTTAACCGACTGAGCCACTCGGCTGGCCCTCGCATAATGTTTTTAAAGATCATCCATGACACAGTGTGTTAATAGTTCATTACATTTAATTGCTGGATAGTATTCAATTATATAGATACAACACATTTTGTCCATTCATTCACCAGTTGATGGACAGTTAGGTTATTCCCAATTTGGGGCTATTGTGAATGATACTGCTATGAATGTTTGCATGGAAATCTTTGTGTGGATGTATATTTTCATTTCTCTTGAGTAAATACCTAGAAGTGAAATTGCTGTTTTTACAGTTTTACATTTAACTTTGAGAAACTGCCACTGTTTTCCAAAGGACAGTACCATTTTATATTTTCATCAGCAGTGTATGAGGGTTCTGGTTTCTCCACATTCTTGTCAACATTTGTTATTGCCTATCTTATTTATCATAGCCATGCTAGTGTGTATAAAATGGTATCTTAATGTGATTTTAATTTGCACTTCCCTAATGATTAATGATGTTCAGCATCTTTTCATGTGTTTGTTAGCCATTCATGTACTTTCTTTGATGAAATTTCCATTCATTTCTTTTGCCCATTATTTCACTGGGTTGTTTGTTTTCATATTATTGAGGTGTAAGTGTGCTTTACATAGTATGGATACAAAGCCTTTATCAGATTTGTGTTTTGCAAATGTTTCCTCCAGCCTGTTACTTGTCTTTTAATTTTCTTTTCTTTTTTTTTTTTTTTTGCATTCAATTGGCTTTATTGTACAAGATCCAAAAAATTAAATGTGACATGAAAGTAAAATGTAAGGGAAAAAGAGAAAGGAGCTAATTTTGTGAAAATCACATTCTCTCTTCACTGAAGGCAGATAAGTGGACAAAGGAGAGTTTGAAGTAGTCATTTTGTTTCAGCAAGACCTGTGCTGTCTTCCTTGTAATTTTCTTAATGATGTCTTTTGAAGTATAAAGTTTTGAATTTTTATAATGTCCAATTTATCAGTTTATTCAGCGATAAACTGCTTTTGGTTCAAAAAAGGAGTTAAAGGTAGATGGGAGCTTCAGTTTAAGAAATCTTTGCCTAACACATAGTCTGGAAAATGTTCTTTTGTTTTCTTTAAAAATTTTTTTTATTGTTTTAGCTGTTACATGTAAGTCTATGATCCAGTTTGAGTTAATTTTGTGTGTAGTATGGGTTGAAGGTCAAATTTCATCTATTTGCATGTGCATAGTCAGTTGTCCCAGCACATTTATTGAACAGACAACCCTTTCCCTCAATGAATTGCCTTAGCACCTTTCTTAAAAATCAATTAACTATAAATATAAGGGTTTCTGGATCTCAATTCTGTTCTGTTAATCTATGTATCTATCTATAGATTACAGATAATCTATATATCTCTGCTAGTACTATTGCTCTAGGAGATCTTGATATGGAAAATTATTAATACATTCTACAAACTGTCTCCTCAGAATTTGAGGATGACAGCTACAGAAGTGGGATTCAGACAAGTATTTTTATAAATGGTTCAGAAACAGCACAATAGGCTTTTGATAAAATGCAGGTATATTGGATTGAGATAATGCTAATCTTAAATTTCATTAATTCTAATGTATCTATAAACAACTCATATTTGTAAATATTGTCACTGGTTCTGTAGAGAATATGATTAATTGGCCTTGTTCGCAAGACTACATAGGGGTGGTAGCCAGTGGATTGCTCTACTTTTCATGTTGATATAGTTCTTTGCATAGGTTCAAAGAGTTGGTGCTCCCCCATCTTACCAGGACCAAACTGAAAAATTAAATTTGTAACCATGACCATGCCAGAAATATAAACTGACTATAATATAACAAAGCCTTTGTTGTAGTCATTAGGTCTGTTGACAAACATTCCAATTCCCCTTTCCTTCCAGGCAAATGTTAGGATTATATTTTTCTGGTCTCCTTGAAGTTAGTCATGGTCATAACTTGAACTGGCCAACACAATAAGTGATGGGTTGAAGTTTTAAGAGCCTGTATGGAATTCACCAAGTTCTCTATTTCTGTCTCGTGGAACTGTGTGACAAGATGGAGCCTCCATCATCACCCCAGGTCACTGAGTGACAAGCAGAATCCCCTTGACAACCCACAGTAAGCACTGTAGCTTGAACAACAAATAAATGTTAGTTGTGTTAAGCCAGAGATATTAGGGATGGTACTATAGCAATCTAGGTTATTACAACTGCTACAAATGATACTTCATTGGGATCACTGCCTAAAAATCTGTCAAATCATTGGTTTGGAATCTGTTCTAAGAGTCTAGGTTTTGGATCTAGACCTAGCTCTGCCAGACCAGCTCAGGCCCAGCTCCTGTGGTCAGGCGTGGGTCCAGTATCCCTTTAAGGTGCACGTATTTACCCACTCCACAAAGGGAGCTTGTCTCAAGAGCCAGATTGCCTGCAGTGGAATCTCAGCTCTTATATAAGGGAAGGCTTTGGCCATGTTCCTTAATTTATGTGCCTGTTCTCACATATGTAAAATAAGTGATGGGTCGAAGTTTCTACACCTTATAGGAATAAATATAAAGCATTTAAGACAATGCCTGGCAGGCAGTGTGTTGCGGGTATTAGCTGTAGTGGTGTATGGCTCTTGCTGGCCCCCTTCATCTCTTCCCAGCCAGCCTTCCAGAGCATGCTGGGCACTCACATTCTCCTCTCTTCTAATGGAGAGCTGAGCACAGGGCAGAACAGTCAACCTGGGAGGCTTGGGTCCAGTCCAAATGATAAAATCCTGGGCCTGACTCTAGATTAGAGCTGAAGTGAAAAATGAAATTGAGAGCTATGACCATGCCCTCGGATAGAAGAATAATTCAATATCTGGCAAGTTCATAGCAAGTATCGGCGCTGGGAACTGGCCGAGTCTAACTGGCTTCAGTCAATGGGAACTGGGAAGCAAAAGTCACATTACCATTCATACCCAAATAATTCACACTTCACTTGTGGGGTATCTTGTTTATTCAAACTCTCAGAGTTCCCACCATGGAGCAGGAACTGAATAGCTGGGAGCTGTGGGGCTGAACAGGGCCAGGATGTCCAGGTTTCAGAAGGTAAAAGGAGCTCAGCTGAGCAGCTGGAGCAGCACTAGGGCCAGGCCAAGCAAGAGAGGCCAGGCCCCACGGAGCCCAGCCCCACTCATGGCCTCAGCATAGAACTTCGCCACCTCCTCATTGGGGTTGCCCTGGGCTGGGTTGAACCACATTTGAATGCAGCGGCCGCTTCCTTGGCTATATTGACTGACCTTGTAGGAGTGACTCCAGATTTCATTGCATAGAGCAGCAGGCGTGGGGAAGTAGACATGGAAGGGTTGGCAGACAGCTCCCACTGGGCACTGGTTAGACCCTGTAGGAGAATGGAAGTCAAAAGCCACTGGGCCCAAAACTATCTCTGGTTCTGCCAGCCTCACAACTCCAAATCTTCATATACCTGTCCCACACCCCCATACCCCTCTACCTCAAGCCCTCCCTCCCCACCCACCCAGGCCCTCACCTGAGGTCCAGTTCCAGCCCTTGTGCCAGTTGCTCTTGCAGGTGTAGGAGGTACGGCAGTCTTCCCACCAGCTCTGACAGTCCTCTTTGCACAGGGGCACATTCAGGATCCGCTCTTTGCGCCAGCTCTGGTCCACCTGGGAAGTGTCAGTAGAGAAAAAGGACTCGGGCTCAGGATCCTCAGCAACCCAGCCCCGAATAGACCCAGAGCTGGAAAGGCAGGTTGAAGAGATGCCTGGGATCAGACATGGGGAAGACACTCAAACCTGTTGGATCCAGGGCCCCAGGTTGGGGGAGCACTCATACAGGCATGTGTCCTGGATGAAGTGGCGCTTGCAGTTGGGCTCCATCTGGCCACAGTGGTCCCAATTGAATCTGTACAGGTAGGAAATATCCTTATGGGCTTCCTGGCTGGTGTTGACGTTGCAGCAGGCATTCTTCTTCCAGGGACTGCACTGTGTGGGGAAGACACAGGGACTAATTCCCAGGCCCAGCACAGCCAGAATATCCCCACACGCAGCTTCTCCCTTTGAGTCCTTGATCCCTCAATGCAGTCAGTCTTTCAGGGAAATACTTGCTCTTGGGGGGCCCTCTTTGGGGAACGTGCAGTCAGAACTAAATTCATTACTCCAAATCTCTATTGAGTTCCTAACTTGCTCTAACCCAGGCACTTCTCTAGGAACTGGGGACACAGTAAGGAGCACTTCTCACAGGGTAATTGCTTTGGAAAAAAAGAAAAGCAGGGGAGAGGAATGGGGAATTGCAGTTTTATAGAAGGGTTGGATCAAGACTCGTTGAGAAGGGGACAAAGACCAGGAAGTGAGGAAACAAATCAATTGTAACCCCAGAATAGTTCTAATTACATAAATACACAACACATTCTTACTCAATGAATGGAAACTCATAGCCTAGAATTTAGTATAAAAGCAAACTATTAAAATGTGCACTTTCAAAAAATATATAGGCTGAAAAAGTTAAAGTCAAGCCTGCTTGAAGTATCTATTGGGTTGTCGGAAAAGTCATGATGTATTTTTTTCTATGTTTTTCGTTGCAAAAGTGCATCATGACTTTTCTGTCAACCCAATAAATTATACCACCACTTATCAGTCTGTACTGGCAGCTGCAGGCTTAGTGATTCAAAGCAAGCACAAAGGGGGGATTGTGATAACTATCTACTAATGAGGATAAAATGAACATTTACATTTGGAATGCACACTACAAGTGACTTTCCTTTTGTTTTTTTCTTTACAGCTATGGCATATATATTTAATGTTTAGATAGGTTCAGGTTATTAAAGGGTTTGTGGCAAAATTATTGTCAGTGGAAGGAGACCTCAAGTCCAATAGGGTCGAGAGACCCAGTGGAAATGTTTGCTAGATGCAAGAATCAAGGCATCTCATACCCAGCCTCACAATTGTGAGAGATCCACTTTTCTTGAGCCTTCTGGGAGCGGGCAGAAAAGAAGCCGCTATGTGCGGTGTGCACTTTCTCCTCTCAGATCCTTGGAAGGGGTCATTCCTAGTGTAAGCTCTGAAATCAAAATCAATCCTGGGAGAGATCTCTCCAGTGTCACTTCTTAAACTCTTCTCAGGGTCTGCTTCCTGATTTGTGTAAGGTGCAACCCCAACAGCCAAGAAGCTGAGCTGTTGGTATTGTACTGGCAACACTGGCACACGGTATGTGTTAAATAGTCGCCCCTATTAGCGCAAGCTGAAGGTCTGTCTCCTCAGGCTGCCTCCCTGCCTCCACCATGAGTGGGTTTAACAATTCCATCTCCTGCTTTTCTCTTCCGGAGTCCGTTCCTCCCCACCCTTTGACCACCCCGCCTCACCCTCAGCACACCTGCTCATGCAGCTTATCCTCAGGGCTTGGCTTTTCCTTGTGGTGCTTGGCGTCCATGCAGACATTGAGAAGCTCAGTCCTGGGCCGGGCTGCCCACACTGCAGACCCCCACACCAGAAGCAGCAGCAGCTGTGTTGTAATCGGCTGGGCCATGTCAGTCCCTGAAGGAAGAGCTGTGATCAGTGACACCAAGAAAAGAGAAGGTGGGGCCTCATGGTGTGCAAACAGACCCAGGTGGGTGGAGCCTTGGTGAAACCTGGGGCGGCTCACATCCCACCTCCACACCAATATTCACAGCCTCAGATGCCACCTTCTGAGACAGTCCTTGGCTGGGGCCTCATTGACTTTTCCATTTGGTGGTGAGGATCAAGTGATGCTACTAAGGGGTGGGGTTTGGGCAAAATGCAGAAATAGCAAGGAGACAGCCATAAGTCCACAACCTCTTGTTCAAAATCTTTGGAGGCAAATGTTTCAGAGTTTAAAATTTTTAGGACTTTATAAAAGGTAACAAAATCAGGGAATACAATTTACCTGCACTCAATAATCAAGCACATGTTCTGTGGTGACATAGTTACACTGGTGGGATAAATAAAAACTATAAGAACCTCACATTCATTTTCAAGTCATATTTTGACACCAAATGACTTTGTGTAAAAGTTTACAACAATATCTTAGTTTTGGAGCTCCAAATAAGCTGCAGACCTATGTTTAAAAAAATAAAATAAAATTTAAAAAGCCTTGGTTCCAACCCTTTCCAGCTTTATCATTTGGCTTCTCCCAGAGACCATGTGGCCTGGGGGATGTCGCAGGACACAGAGGTTTAGGGGGTGGGTGTTGGCAGCTTAGGGGGATAGATCCTGGGGCCTCAGGGAGCTCCTGAGAACTGGCCTCCGCTCAGCCTTCGTAGCACTTCAATCCTCTGACCTCAGACACTGAGCTTTGGGAGGTAACTTCGCTGGGCCCACTGGTCAGCAGATGCCTGGCTGTCCTAAAATGCTCCGCATGTTTCCCACAGTTCCTAAAGCTTATGTGCCTCCTGCTCACAAAGTTGTCTCGCCCCTTCATTGCCCCCATCTCCTGCAGAGCTCTTGCCTGGGCCCCTGTTCAGAGCCTGAGCTGGGCAGCCTCCAGGCTGACTGCCCAGCAGGGCTGGGGAAACCTGGAATTGAATTCCCACCTAGCTCTCCTCCTCCTCTTCCTTGCCCCCTCCTCACCCCTCACCATTCCACAATCCAATATTCCGCCTCCCTATTTATTCCTGTGTTCATTCATTCCCTCACTTGCTAATCCAATCGTCCCTCCATTGACTCAATCACCCACTGATCTCTGAGAGCACAGGACAAATCTGTTCTCTCCAGAGCCGCCCAAATGATTCTTCGGATTGGGCTCCTTGGGGAAACAAAGTCTAACAGTTCAGAGCACAGGGTTCCAGATCAGCTTGTCCATGATCCCAGCCCTCACACTCACCTCCTGCTTGACCTTTGGGCGAAATATCTCAAATTATCTTAAGGCTTAGTTTTCTCATCTGAGGATTAAATGTTGTGGGGGGAAAACCCCAACAAATGATAGCCTTCTGGGCACAGATTAAGTAATCAATTGGATACAGTTTGAGGGATGTGCCTCATGTCACACAGAAGGGGTCACCCAAGTCTGACTTGGGATCCTGAAGTCCTGAGCTCCTTCGGCTTTTGTCCCCTGTATCTTCTCTGTGCTGAGGCTCTCGTGGGGGCCACTGATGCAGAGTACTGAGGGAGTCCTGGGGTGGGGGTTCTGTTGGATCCCACCCGGTCAGTCAGTAGTTTTTCTTGTTGTGGCTGATTTCTTGAACTGGAGGTCTCTTCCTCTCCAAGCCACCTACATCTCTCTGCAAGCCCCTCCCCACCTTCCTAGGCTCAGCTTCAGATCTTGGACCAGATATGACTCCCGCGCTCCCCTGCAACCATCACTCTCAACCAACACACACACACACACACACACACACACACACACACACACACACACACACACACACACACACACAGGGCCCCAGACTTGAAGTGCTGAGAACTCAGTGCTGTGCTGAAAGGCAAGAGCCCTGGGTTCTAGTACAGAAAGGACATGAACTTATACTTTAACCTTGCTCAGGCCCTGTTCTGCTCTGGGTCTCAGTCTCCGCTTCTGGATTCTCTGCACTTTAGGCAAAGTGGATCCTCCCAGTTCAGCAAATCCTTGAACACATGCTGGGATCCCCGTAGGGCTTAATGCCTCTGATAGGAGGTGGAAGTGGCATACCTGGGAGTGGAGGTGGTTCTCTGTCTGGTTCAGGTTTCTGCTCTGCTCTGCAGTCCCCCTTGCCTTACTTCAGAGGAAGCCACAGTTTAGTGGCCTAGGAGACAGGCAGTGGGAATGTGGCCCAGGAGTGGAGCCTGGGATTGGGTGAAGGCCACTGAGCAGTTAATTATTTCATGTGGTCACCAGCCAGGCCTCCGTGGGTGGGAGGGGATTAATAGTGCAGGCCTAAGGCTAGTCCACAAACCCCACTTACCCCATTTTCTCCCAAAAGCTCAGGTCTGAAAAAACCTTGCAGCACGAGTTGCTGGGATCCTTTAAAATAATCTGGTGCACTTCCAACACCCCTGTCCCATGATATAGATGAGAATGAGACCCAGGGAATCAGGACAGAGCTCATTGTAGGGCAAGGGCTGGAGTGCAGGCTTCTAAGCTCCCAGCCAACTGTAAAGAGCAAGGAGTTTCCATGTCCCCAGCTTATAGAGCCACCAACTTCTCCAACTTCATTAGCCCGGGCATCGCTCACCCCTCCCAGCTGAAAAAATCAGAAATTCCTAGATTACCAGAGCCTCATGGTTCCAAGACCCCAGCTCCCCTCCCATCCTGCACTTACTCACCCACCTGCACAGGTATCCTCTCTAGTGCATCTAGGAGTCTGACCTAATTTAGACTCCTCCCACCACTCCCACCCCAGCCAAGGACAGAGCTTTCCTTTTCTCACCTTCTGAGATAGTTGAATACCAACCACTGGGGGGGGGGGGGCCTAAAAGAATTAGGTTGTCACCCTCTCTTTGGTCTTACATGGGCCTAGCCAGATCTATCATGGCGCTGGTGGTAGTGTTATTTATATGGTAGTGAGGACAGGTCACCCAGGGGACAGCTCCTCTGGTGTACAGCTGCAGTTTGGGGAACCTGTCCTAAATTTGGTTAAATCTCTTTTGCAGTAACCACTCCAACTGTTCTTGTTTCTTATTGGCGGGAAAGTATGACTCAAGGTTGCTTCCCCAGCAGCAGGTTTTGACTATGTGACTACTGACCATATTCTGGCTACGTGACGACTGACCATATTCTGCTTCACGCTTACCTACCTCAGAGGTGCCTGTGTGCGTGACCTAGGGGGAGGTGGTTGCAGAGGCGAAAGCCCAGGGAAAGGGTCCAGCTTGGATGCAGATGTGGGAGCCATCAGCCTATGGATGGCAGTGGAAGTTTACAGAAGAGGAGCCCACGTATCCTGGGGAAGGCCACAGGTCTGGGCCCCTGGAGCAGGAGTGGGGCAGGCAACCAGAGGAGGCAGCTGGATCGCTGGAGGAGAGTCAGCCAAGAAGGCCCTAAAAGGTCTAACTTCCAGGAGACCCCCAGCTCACGCCCTGCTCTCCCTCTTCCTCAGAGTAAGCCTTACCTGAATCCTGTGACAACCTGGGAGGATTAAGCCCTCTGAAGGCCTCAGCACGCAGAGTGCCACTGGAACCACTGGCTGGCTTTATAAGCCCAGCTCAGCCTTCTCCTGATTGGAGAATAACCAGGTGTCTAGACCACAGGTGGGAACTCCTCTAGATGGGACTTGCCACTGCCCCTCATCTTGTGTTCCTGCCCTGGGGGCTGATCATTTAAGGGCATTAGGCCCCTCCATTTCAGGAGTGTGATTTGGCCCTTGAGCCACACCCCTGGGCCCTGAGGGCTTCAGAAGTGACCAGCAAATGGAATGTGAGTTGGAGGTGGAGTTCTGATCTGTAGGGAGTTTTCTGCCCTTGTTGAGCCTCATGTCTTTGTTGACATAAGAAACATCCAAACCTATAGAGAAGTTTTGAGTTTATTTGAGCCAAAACTGATGACAGTTGCTGGAAAGCAAGATCTCACATGCTCTGGAGAATGACAGCTTTGCAGTTTCTTTTATGCATTTGAAATTAAGAAGGGAACATAGGAAGATTACATGAAGATGGGAGAAAGCAAGGTGAGAATTGGGTTACAGGATAGTTAACAGATTATGTGCTCTCTTGAGAGTGGTTATCACTTATTTCAAAAGTGGTTATCACTTATTTCAAAAACAATGGACAGGACTTCCTTAAGGCAGATAAACCTTTTACTACAGAAGTTATATGCCTGGGGTGTGACTACCCACCATGACCTGCCCAGTTAAGAGTTTATAATCAGATCACCCTGTGAGGTTACTTTCCATAGAACCCCTGTTTGGTCTACACTCTGCTCTGAATCTGGGACCTGGGTGCTAGGGCCATCTGACCAGCAGGGAGGGACAGGCTCAAGCAGCTACCTTGGAGCCAATCCCAAGAGTATCTGCCTAGACTGGAAAAGCTTAATACCAACATGGTTAGTCATCAGCATCTATGTGGATCCCAATCTGAAGGCTGCCTTGTGACCAGACAAAGATAACAGGAAGGTATTTGACGCCCACAGGTAGGGGCTCTGGGCTGCAGGGAGCGAGGGGTGGGAGAAACCAGAGCTTTTCCTTGAGTGCCAGCCCACCACATAGGCGCTCACTTTTCCCCACCCTCACAGCTGCAGAAATAGCAGTTCTCAGGCAGCGAAGAGGGGCTAGGATTCAGAGCTGAGTCTAAGTCCAAGCCTGGCTTCTTTCACAAAGACAGCTCTGTGAGGGGCTCTTAGGGCATTGGCTTAAGGACTGAAGAGCCAGTGTTTCTTTTCTGGCCTCATTTCTTACCTTTGCCCTCTTAACGTCTATCTTAGCCACCTAGAAATTCTGCTTGCGCTTCTATTACCTCCAAGCCTTTGCACTTGCTGAACCCTCTCCATGGAGTGCTTGTTCCTCCCGCTGTTTTCTGCTTGGCAAGCATTCTCCCCTGGAAGCTTTCCCTAATTTCTGGACTTCCACAAATTACACAACCCTCCGGACTTCCCTGTAGCAAAGCCTCGGCTCCTTGTTTTCTAAGAGTTATTGGTTCTCAGTTTGGTCTGCCCCTACCACATTGTGCAAGGTACTCAATTTCCTCCTGCTGGTGGAGACCAGCAGACTGGGTTCTCAGATAGCCTCTGTTAACTGACAGAATGAGTGCATGCATTCCTTAATTTCCTGAGCACCTCCTCTGTGCCAGGCACTGACCCAGGCCCAGCGGATCTGGCACACAAGACAGAGACATGGCCCCTGCTTTCAGATGTGTATGTTTTGTTAGGGAAAAGCCATACAGTAAACACAATAGGCAGATATCTGTACTAGGGGATTTACAAGAGTGATGCGATAAGCAAGTGCCTGGGTGGGCTGGCCAAGTGGCTTGTTGGTTAAGACTTGGCTTGGGAGTGTGAGCTCTGAGCAGCAGGGCCCCGGTTCAGATCCCACATGAGGGTCAGTGACACTGCCCTCTACAGCTAAGATGGTGAACAACAGCTCAACCTGGAGCTGGGCTGCCTGAGTTGCCGGTGACGGCGTAGGCTGCAGTGGGGCTGCGTTGGGCTGCAGTGGGGCTGCGTTAGGCTGCTGGAAGCTACCGTGAGTGACTGGCAGCCAGTGTGAGCGGTCAGCGTTGTGAGCAGCCGTGAGCCGCTGTGAGCGGCTGTCCAAAGGCCGGCAACTGATCTGCCTATGCCGGGAAGAGCACAATGATAATACCAACATAGGCCAGTGAAGCGACGTCCTCCACAACTAGACTGAAGAACAAAAGGAAGTGCCTGGGTGACTGCTTTTGAGTGGATAGTCAGAAGTCATTTTAGGGGGAAATTGTAGGTTGAAATCTAAATGGCTACAAGGAACCAGCCTGCAGAGGATAAAAAGAACAGAGAGGGAATTGCTGGAGTAAAGGCCCCAAACTGAAACGTGTGAATGGAGCTCATCTACGCAGGGGTGTAGAGGGGAAATGATTTGACATGTAATCTAAGTAAGGGGGTCAGCAGGGCCTTCTATGACATTGAAGGAGTTTGGTTTTTTCAACAGATAGCCATGGAAAAGTATTAGAGAGTTGGTGAGGAGCTGTCATATAACAAGACACTTTTGGTATTTGTTTTTTCTTTTTAAAATACGTCCATCAGATATAAAGCTCATGAATGAAAGTTTGCTGATAAATAGGGTATCTGCAGTTCTCAAAGTATTTCCCTGCAACATACTTATTAATTACAAAAGGAGAAAAAGTTGTGAAGAAACCTGGCCGACCCAAGTCTCAATCAAAAGGTCAGCCATCGTCAGGAATGGGCAAACCTGTCACTGTGTGCCTCCTGGTATAGCGCACCAAGAAGGACAGGGCACTGCTTTGGGGATATTTGTGTCAAAGAAGCACAGCCTCAATCTAGTGATGAGGAAATAGATAAACTCAAAAGGAGGGATATTTTACAAAATAACTGGCCTGTGTTTTTCGAAACTGTCAAGGTCATAAAATAACCTCCCTCCCTCAAATATCCATTAGTAGGTGACTGAATTAAAGGTGACATACGATGTCAGACAGTTAAGTTTGCGAACTCATCCTACAAAAAGTGCTACATACCCGGCCGGCTGAGTGGTGCATTGGTTAAGCATTGGCTTGGGACAACAGCTCTGAGCAACAGGGCCCCGGTTTGGATCCCACATGAGGGCCAGTAACGCTGCGCCCTCTACAGCTAAGATGGTGAACAACAGCTCAACCTGGAGCTGGGCTGCCCTGAGTCGCCAGCGACGGCTACTCAGCAACGGCTGAGTTGTGAGTGGCCGGCAGCCAGTGTGAGTGGCCAGCAGCCAGTGTGAGTGGCCGGCAGCTGCCGTGAGCTGCTATGAGCCGCCGTGAGCAGCTGTCCAATGGCCGGCAAGCAACTGCTTCATCCAGAAAGAGCACAATGATAATACCAACATGGACCAGTGAAACAACGTCCTCCACAACTAGACTGAAGAACAAAAAGACAGCAACTTGTCTGTTCCCTTTGCCCGATTCCACGCCCCCCCCAAAAAGTGCTACATACCCCATTTGCTGAATATCACTATGGTCATCTTTGAAGTACTCCCCTTGGGAAGCTATGCACTGATGCCAGTATCTTGTCCACCCTTCAAAGCAATTTCGGAACTCTTTTTCTGGAATGGCTAGCAGAGCTGTTGTCGTATTACCCTTGATGTCCTGAATGTTATCAAAATGTCCTCCTTTCAGTATTTCCTTTATCTTCAGGTAAAGAAAGAAGTCATTGGGGGCCAGATCAGGTGAGTAGGGAGGGTGTTCCGATACAGTTATTTGTTTACTGGCTAAAAACTCCCTCACAGACAGTGCCG